CAGACAAAAATCAGTATAGATGGGAGAAATCTGAAAAAACAACCTCCTTTACCTACCTAACTACCTACCTGAGAAGCATCGTTTCAACTACAGGCAGACGGAACTGACGAGAATATCAAAACAAGGATCGAGAAAGCAAGACAAGCTTTCACTACTCTCAAGTCTGTGTGGAGGTCAGCGGAACTCATCATGAAAATGAAAATAAGATCTGGATTTTCAACTCCAATGTGAAGTCAGTGCTACTTACTATACGTACGGATCAGAGACTTGGCGCGTGACGTAAAGCACTTCGAACAAACCACAGACTTTATTCAACAGCTTTCTTCTCTCAATACTACTCAAGATCAGATGGCCGGGCAGAAAAGATCAGCAACATAGAGGGATCTCTGGGAGCGAACCGAACTAGCCGGAACCAATTGTGCAACAAATATGCAGGAAGAAATGGAGGTGGATTGGCCATACTCTGAGAAAACAAACCATCATCAAGTGACATCACACACCAGGCCATCACTCGAGTGAAACCCGAATGGGAAGCGGTGAGTTGGTTGTCAGTGCTACGATGACATTGAGGAGGTGATGTGAAGAGGAGATGAAAGCATGCTGGCAGATATGGAGCCAGGTGAAAACGTTGGCGGATAACCGAAGGCAATGGAAACGTGCGGCTGAAGCCCTATATTCCTCTAGGAATTAAAGGAAACAATAATAATAACAGTACTGAAGATGAGATGGCCAGCCATGAAAGAATTATCAACATGAAACTCTAGGAATGAGCCAGTCAAGAACCTGTTGCTTAACAGATATGTAGGAGAAAATGGAGATGGGTTGGACACACGCTTAGAAGACCGTCGAGCGTCATTTTGCACCAAGTGATTGCTCCAGTAGAACCTGAATGAGAAGAAACGAGATAGGCATGGATCTGAGAGTAACACGGAGGAGGACTGTAAAGAACGGGATGAAACGGGGATGTGCTTTTGAAGACCTAAGTTCCAGCTGAAACCCAAGGGAATAATAATAATAGTATGTAACTGAGTTTCAACAGAACAGAAAAGCTTTTTTTTTCTTTGTGAATACAAGGAAAAGGAAAAAAAAACATTTAGACAAATTTGGAAAGAAACTAACATTACATCAGCTTTATAAATGTTGAATATAAAGAGCTAATTTGTGAAGTTATCCCTGGAGTTTCACCCTCTAATAAACACAGTAAACTGTTGGTCGTAGAAGGGATTGATTTCATTTGTGATTATGAGTACTGATTTGTGCTAAGAACGTCATCCATTCATACATACTGCATCTCTGTGTTATACGAAATAAAATGATCTAATATGGAGCTATATTCCACCAGAGAGCTGTAATCATCCTGTTACATTTTTATTGTTCCTTTGGGTTCCGAGTGAATTATACGACTTCAGCAGTAGATGGCCACTTCATAGTGTTCTTTGCAGTCTTTTGTAGCTACCTAACTCTACGATCAACCATAAACTTTCGTCTCGTCCTCATATAAACTTCTATATGTCTCCCAACTCGTTGTTTCCCATAAAGGTTTCACCCAAGAGATGGTCTGGAGTACAATATCACTCAGTGATCTCAGCTGAGGTCCAATGTACTTCCATTTCTTTCTGCATATTTCTTTGTAACTAACCCTTTCTGGCCATCTGATCGTCAGTATCGAGGCGGTGATGGGGTGGATGTTGATATAAATCTCCAGTTGTGTGCGGGAATTGTTCTTCTTGGCTTACCAAGTCTCTCCACCACATAAAAGTACGAACTTAACAGTAGTCTTAAAGATCAATATTTTGTTTCTTGTGTTGACTGTAGAGTAATGCCTACACTATAGAAGTAGCAAGTTTCCTGAGATAATTTTGACACCAAACCTGATTGAGTCACAGCGCATTCCCTTAAGATGTAATCTCAGCATGTGTAGAAAATCAAAATGAAATTTCTCATAAACACCTCGTTCTATACTTTGATCGAACACTACGTAGTTATTGACTAAAGGTCATGTGTCTAATCCTTTGTTGACTGCACACTAAATTCCACCAGTCAAGTTTACATTGTGGCCGTCATGCGACGGAGCGAGTCGTCATCGAAGTACACTTTGAATTTATGTCAGATGGTTAGAAGTAACAGACAGGAAGCCCTAAACCACTTAGGTTTCTTGCTCATTAGTACTCACCGTCCGGGTTCGAATCTCAGGAGGGAAACGAATTTCTCCAAGTTTTCAAATATATCTTGCTGACTGCCGAGTCCCAACAAGAACGAAACCTAGGTAGCCCAAGGTTTTCTGAAGCCGATTACTTCCAACCATCTATTAACAACAGTTTCGTTTTGTAGGCTACAGCGTCTTCAACAGAATTATTTCGAATTTTGTTAAACATTATATATATATATATACTGTTTAATAATGTATAGGATAAAATGAACTTGAATGTAGGTTAAGTGTAGGGTGAATATTTGTGGGACGTACAAATCATAAATGTGATTGGTCATCATATAAATACTTGTTTTTGTTATTGTCATGTTGCCAGAATTACATAGTGAAACTACGTATGTACATGTTATGCGTGTTGTTCATTGTGCGGAAACATGATGGATCACGTACAAGTTGGTTCAGAAAATTGTAACAAATTTGCTAACGTTAATATGAACTTTCATATATATATATGTATATATATATATATATATATATATATATTCTAGGTAGATCCCTGTCCTATAATAGTGTCTCTCTTACTGACATTACCAATTCAAGAAAATTGAAACAATGTTCAAGTTTTACCATGGGTTAAAATCAGTTATAGAACCAGTGAAAACCACCAGATTGAGTACTGGATAGCTTTTTCGTCCTTTGAGACCCACCAGCATTACACAATTAACGTGGTTCGTCAAACCCAAGACTTATCGGTTACAAGGCAAGGGCGTTGACCATTTAGCCATTGGGACCTAATTCATTGGCCAGTCAGTTTTTGACAATGAATCTCAAACTAGGACGAAACAGCTGTTCAGTACTTCATAGTGGTTTTCAATAGTTCTCTGACTAATATAAATCCATGGTCATGTTTGGAACAAACCAAATTCTTACAGACGAACTATTGAGAACAATTTCGTTACTGATGAATTTCTATAACTACATATAAATAGTTAGAATTTCATGAGTTTCTTTCGTTTGATTTCACCAGTAAATGATATCATTTAGGGAATCACCGAAAATTAGGGATTACTGGTAAGACACTTCATCAGTAAGCATTCAGGACATCACTGTGTATCAAACCTAGAATATCTAGGTTACGAGGCCATCTAGTTGACTATACAATCACTGGGTCGAAATTCGAGTACTGATATAATTTTACTCCTACGTAGTTGCCATCGGAATTTAGAATTCATAGACAGTTGGCGGAATAGTGACGTGTTCATTTCATAACTGTTATACACACCTAGTTTTCAAAATATTAAATATTCCCATAGTAAAATTTAGCTAACATTGAGCCTAATGGTCAACCTATAGCAATTCCATCTACTTGTCGGTAGTATGAACTATTGAAGACAAAGTGCACACTCACTGGGCATTTAAAGAGTAATTCTTTGAGGCTACACAAGGGAATTCCTAAGTCCAATTGCCTTTCGATGATTTCTTGGCAAATGTAATCTACCGTTTCGATAAGTGGTACATTCGTGAACAGTGATGATACATCCATGGATAACATACGTCTATCCCTAACATTAGTCTAGGATATTTTAGAAATGGAGTCGAAGACATCACTAATTCTATGTCGTACAATTTCTTTGTGCATAGGTCCCAGAATCTTTACTAACCACTTAGCTGTTCCGTGAAATGGAGAGTTATATCTAAAACAGAGCGAAAAGTAAGACCCGGTCTGTGCGCTTTGGGTAAACGGTAAAGACGTGGAGTATTGGTACCCGTTGGTTTCACAGACTCATACATGACTGACGATAGTACTCCTTTTTGTTTCAGTTTTTTGAGAGAGTCGGTCATTAGTTTCTCCGCTCTTACATTGAGGTCTTTGGAACTACCAAGAGATGGAAATTCAGTTTGACCATTCAAAATACCTTCCATTTTCTCAACGTAATCGCTTTTATCCAGTAAAACTACACCGTCACCTTTATCCAGCTTGCTAATAATTAGGCTTTCATTGCTTCTAAGTTCTGTTAGAGCTTTTCTGTGTTTCTCAGATAACAGACTATTTACTGAATGTCTATTATTTTGGTATTTTTGGCAGCTGTCAACTAGCGTCATTTTGAACCCAGTTAGTTCATCGTCCAATGATGGAATAAGGTCAGACGTTTCAGAATACAAATTTTCGAACATTTAGTTTTGCCAAAATTTGCGCAAAACCCTATAAAACTATTTTAAGGAGTTGTTGTACAGTGGCATCAGTCTTTTATTTTTTTTTCCTCTGTTTGGATTGCTGGATTCTTATTGGCTGTTAATTCTATTTGTGCATCACTGAATTACTGCATTTTCAAGGTCATTCTAACTTTATATATGTACAGAGTCTCTTTCTAGCTTTCAACTGTTATTTGAGGCAGTAAAGGCTCTCTTATTGACGTTCATTCTTTTCTTTTATCTTTGTTTTTGGGTAGTCTTATTATTGCTGTTGTTGACGTGTTATTAGGAAAGAATAGCCAGCGCATTAAGTTAGTATTCGCTCATAGCCTACCGGGTTGTAGTTCTCGTCATAACAATAACCTAAAGGTGCTGACTTCGATATCCGTCTGCATTACGGCAAGTGCACGTTGATGAAGAGTCCCAAACTGTGGCAAAACACCCGTTCATTGGTCTCTAGTTATCAACAGTTGTCGAATTAAAATGTCAATCAGTGATGATATTAAACTTAAAATGATTTAAATTCATACAAATCAGTTATTCAAAGGTGAAAAGTTTTCATCGAAATCAAATATATAAAGAAAAAAGATTGATTAATATCTTTAGAAGAAAGAAAGTAAAAATACTCTTCTCTATTTTTTTCTTTTCTATTTTACAGTTGTTCTGCTGATGGCTGGCTGTACACAGATCCTAGAATCAGATCAATTTGTGTAACGTTGTAAGTTCCAATTTCATATATTTGTATGACTTTGCTATGGTATTAATAATAATAATATTGATTTTTCACTGGATTATTAATGAAGGACGTCAGTTTAAAGACACAATTTAGGTGATATAATATGAATTTAATATTCCTAGTTAAAGACTATGGATGACCAACAAGCAAGCTAGCTATGCTGCATCTCCTTTCTGAAGGAGGAATTGGAAGGGTTCAACCCTCAGATATTGTATATCACGCCTTATTCTACGTCATTTTGTAGCCGGTGGTAAGGTCTTCCTTCATTTTGAGACAACTCAAAAATCCACCTAAAACAGGCCGTGTGTGATCTGCCGCAAACAGTTATCCCCCAGGCAGCCAGGAATTAAAAGAAGCTCACATATTTCCTGTATATAATGTTAATAATTTGCTTTATTCCAAAACAGTACTTGTGATACAGAATGGAATTCTCAGCATTTCACTACAGTATTGCATCCAGTTTGTACATTTAGCCCATTTTTCACATGGAAAAAATGGGCTAAATCCATTTTATCACACTCACATCACCCTCTTCATTCGCAACTCTCCCCTTGTATCTCATCAGGCAAAACCAGAAGCCTATATAGAAAACTATATGCTCGCACTAGCAAGTACAAAAACTCAACCATACCCTATTTAGCTCGTGTTCTGTGTGATAAAGAAAGCATTAGGCGTGAAACCTATAACTTATTAGATAGTCAGTAGAACCATTGGATCTCGTCTTTCCGACTCATATCATTTATAGGTACAACGTTTTCTTTCTTTCTTTTCCTTTTCTCTTTCTTTCTCTTTCTTTCTTCACTTTTGGCTTTGCTACTGATATGCTAATGTGTTGTTGTAAAACTAACTGAGATTACCCATATTCTATGTAGAATTTTATTTATTGTTTATGTACAAACTAGATTCAGTACTGTAGTGAAATTCTGAGAATTCCATTCTGTATCACAAGTACTGTTTTGAAACAAAGCAAATTATTATTATTATGGAGTGTATGGCTGACAGAATGATGGCGTGCATACAGACTATACACTCTCATCAAGAATGACTACAAAATAGCTCCTCCAATGCTTATCGTATAAAAAGTATTCACAAGTGTCGGCTTTCCGCCATTCTGGTTGTTGAATATTACGTATTATCCCAGCATACAACAGTAAACACAATGATAAGAAAAGCCATAGAAGTACAGAATCTACCCTTCGACCTTCTCAAATATCTTCTAAGTCTCAGTTTGAATATATATCATATTTTTAATTGGTGGATGGTGACTAGCAGTGGAATCCAGGATGCGCATTTCGTCCTATTCGGGACTCGTCATCTGGATGTACCTGCATTTCTCAGTGAGTGATGATGTTCCCACCGTGGCTCGAACTTAGTGCCCATAGTTTCCAACGCCAAAGCGTTATCCATTAGACCACTTGGGCCACGAGAGCCACCACGGGAAAAATCTAAAATTCAATTTTATCATATTTTGCAAAACATTTAGTTGAAGTAGTCATGCCGAGCTGGGAATAGACGAGGTAATCATCAGTATCGCTTTGCTAAGCCATCAGCATATACAACCAATCTCTCAGCCTACAACTTAAGCCAGAGCGCACCAAAAACCAGACGAAAAGTAACGTATGATGAAAAAAAACTCTCTCTAAGGATATGTCACCGATCAATAAAATATTGGGCGTTATTTTGCGCAGGCCAAATCCGCCCGTGTGAAACGGGCTCAAGTCAGTGAGTCTATGATTTTGGTACCATTTTGGTTAACTGCAATTGACTGTGATATTATTATTGTTGTTGTCGCTTGTTACCCTTTCTGTTGTGAATTATTTTCCCGTGCTGGTGTTTTTCTGCATGTTTATTCCCTGTTTTCCTGGTTTTTAAGGGGAGCAACCCACAAGATCGCTTCTCTCTAAATTATAAATTGATGTAACAACCCCCTTCTCAGGCGTGAGGCTAGCAACCCCACCCTGTAAACAAACCTGCTACAGAAACTTCACCACGATGTATCTCCTTGAGACAAAAGAAAAAGTCTTTGTGGGGACATGGAATGTCCGTACTATGTACGAGATTGGCAAAGCTGCCCAGATCGCAAACGAAATGAAAAGATACAGAATTCAAGTACTGGGAATATGTGAAAGCAGATGGAACGGGAGTGGACTCACCAAATTGCCAATGGGTGAGTCAGTGATCTACTCCGGTCACCCAGAAGATTACCACTCGCACACCGAGGGCGTGGCTATCATGATGTCACCAACGGCAACGAAGGCCCTGATGCAATGGGAGGCGATCTCGCCCAGGATAATAACCGCCAGATTCAACTCCAAAGGAAGGAAAGTGTCAATTATACAATGCTATGCACCGACCAACAACGCAGACCTCGAAACGAAAGAAGAATTCTACAGACAACTGCAGACAACAATGGACAATACTCCAGCTGGTGACATCAAAATACTAATGGGAGACATGAACGCCAAACTGGGATCAGACAACACAGGAAGGGAACTCATCATGGGTAGAGAAGCTCTCGGAGAAATGAATGAAAACGGAGAACTCTTCGCCGACTTCTGCGCCTTTAATGAACTAGTGATTGATGGCAGCGTATACAAACACAAGGATATCCACAAGGCTACATGGGTGTCACCAGATGGGCGAACCAAAAACCAAATCGACTTCATCTCAATCTCAAGGAAGTGGAGGCGCAGCCTGCTGGACACAAAAGTAAGAAGAGGAGCAGACATTGGCTCAGACCACTATCTCGTACAAGGGACAATCCAAATCAAATTAAAAGCTTTCAGAGAATCAGGAGCTGCAGATAGGCCACAAGCCAAGTTCAACACTCAAAAACTGAAGGACCAGGACACAAAGGACATCTTCACTGCAAGTATAAAAGACAAAGCCGAGACACAAATCAACACTGGCGAAGAGGTCAGCGTCGAAAAGCACTGGAACAACTTGAAGACAGTATGGAGTCAAACATGCATGGAAGTTCTAGGCAGAAAGAAGAGACAGGACAAACAATGGCTCACTACGGACACTTGGAAACTAATAGAAGAGAGAAGGATGGTGAAACAAAAGATTCTCCAGTGCACCGATGAGCAACAAAAACAGGATTTGAACGCAAGCTACAAGACACTGAACAAAAGAGTAAAGAAGAGTGCCAGAGAAGACAAAAGAAAGTACTATGAAACCATGGCAAGTGAGGCAGAACAAGCTGCAGGCAAAGGAGACCTCGCAACACTCTACCAAACTACTAGGTACCTATCGGGCAAACGTTTGACACAAATCAAGCCGGTGAAGGATGACAATGGAAAGTCACTCAACAAAGAAGTGGAGCAAAGGAAACACTGGGCTGAACACTTCAAAAGACTCCTAAATCGACCACCACCTACAACGCGCCCAGCAATACCAACAACGGAGACAGAGCTACCAGTGAACACCAACCCCCCGACGAAATCAGAAGTCCTGAAGGCAATCAAGATGCTAAAAGCTGGAAAAGCAGCAGGACCAGATGGAATCCCAGCAGAAGCATTGAAAATGGACCCAGAGACAACAGCGGACTTGATGACGCCACTACTGGAGAAGGTGTGGAAAGAAGGCAAAGTACCCGAGGATTGGAAGAAAGGATACTTATTCAAACTACCAAAGAAAGGAGACCTAAGTCAATGCAAGAACTGGCGCGGAATTATGCTCCTGTCCATCCCAAGCAAAATACTAAGCCGCATCATCCTGGAGAGAATCAAACATGCCCTGGATGAAAAACTTCGACCGGAACAGGCTGGATTCAGGAGAAACAAGTCATGCATTGATCAGATCGCCACATTACGGATCATCATTGAACAAAGCTTAGAGTGGCAGTCACCTCTCTATCTCAACTTCATCGACTTTGAAAAGGCCTTCGACAGCGTCGATCGAGAGGTGATTTGGAAACTACTTCGCTACTACGGGGTGCCACCGACAATAATACATCTCATCCAACAGCTATACGACAATGCTGCATGCCAAGTAATCCACAATGGGAAACTTACGGAACCCTTCGAAGTGAGGACAGGAGTAAGACAAGCTGGCTGCCTACTATCGCCAATGATTTTCTTGATTGCAGTAGACTGGATAATGCGACAAACAGTGGGCAATGAGGAAACAGGCATAAAATGGACACACACAAAAACTTGGAGGATCTGGACTTCGCCGATGATATATGTCTGATTTCCCACAAACTGGAAGATATGCAAGCGAAAAGCAACAAGTTAGCAGAAGAAGCATCAAAGATAGGACTTCAGGTGAACATAGAGAAAACAGAGGTGATGAAAATTCCTGGGCAACACCATCAACAGCAACAACAACAACTGACAACAATCAGCATAAATGGGAGGAACCTGAAAGAAACAACCTCTTTTACCTACCACCTGGGAAGCATCGTTTCAACTACAGGCGAACGGAACTGACGAGGATATCAAAGCAAGAATCGGAAAAGCAAGACAAGCTTTCACTACTCTCAAGTCTGTGTGGAGGTCAACAACACTCAGCATCAAAAATAAGATCCGGATTTTCAACTCCAATGTGAAGTCAGTGCTACTATACGGATCAGAGACTTGCACTGCGCGTCATAAAGAGCATCTCAAACAAACTACAGACCTTCATTAACAGTTGTCTTCGCTCAATACTCAAGATCAGATGGCCAGAAAAGATCAGCAACAGGGATCTTTGGGAACGAACCAACCAGGAACCGATTGTGAAACAAATAGGCAGGAGGAAATGGAGATGGATTGGACATACTCTGAGGAAACCATCAAGTGACATCACTAGACAAGCCATTGCTCGAGTGGAACCCGAAAGGGAAGCGGCGAGTTGGTCGTCAGTGCGAGGGTGACTTGGAGGAGGTCATGTGAAGAGGAGATGAAAACGTGTGGGCAGACTTGGAGCCAGGTGAAGACTCTAGCAGAGAACAGAACGCAATGGAGACGCACGGCTGAAGCCCTATGTTCCTGTAGGAATTAAAGGATACAATAATAATAATAATAAATCTGCCCGTGTGAAGCTAGTTACATAGGGCGTACGATCAGGCAAGCTCATCGTCGAATTTCTCAACACCTCCCGTCTTGGTTTGGCAAAGGTCCGAATAAAGCTATACACAGCTCATTCATTACTAGCTCATCTCGTCGATATTGGACATCAAATCGACTCTAGCAAAGCTTTTAAAGTTATTTATCGTTATTCATCACCCAATCTTTCGCATGGTCTGTGAGTACGACTTTTACATACATACAACGGAGGCAATCGGAATTCATCTGAGCAAGCCAAATCTATGTGTGTGTTCAAAAGAAATTTGTACAGAACCTTTCTTTGCCATCGCCAACTACATGATTTTTTCCCTCGCCTCGTAACCATCTTTTGACTTTGCTAATTTTTATAATTTTTACAGTTCTCGCTAATACTATTAACTTCTTTGTGTTTTAAGTAACTCTTCTGAGTCAT